ACTTCAAAGTGCAGCAATGTTTAATACTCCATTCATATTTCAGAAGAAGAAAAAAATATACATACAAATACCTATAAAACATCATGTTAAAAATACTTTCCTACAGATAGTACATTACATAGAAAATTATGCAAAACAAAGCATCATTACAATAGCAATAGGAATAGCAAATATTTTACTTCATAAACATCATTTGACTCATTGTCTACTGAAACCATGTGGTTCCTGTGTTATGCTTATGGGAACGAGTGAACTTTAGTGAAAACCAGTAGTCAATGGGTTAATGCATAGGCTTGAAAGAATGTGCTGAATATAGCGCAAACTCATAGTAGACATAAATGAAAGTCCAACATAGCACTTTAACAGCGGCAAGTAAATTCTAAGGGTATTTAAAGTTCAATGTGCCATCCTAGAAATGTTACTATGTACATCAAGGCTCCAGCAATGGGGAACTTTGGCTATGCAACCATTGCACTCTCATATATATCTCATGCATATCATTTGAACAATGCAGTCCACAATTGAGAAGCATATAAATTGCATCTCATGACGTACCAAATAGCTCATCAGCGAGATAAATTTGACCAGCTTCCTCTAGAACATCCTTCAAGGCTTCACACACTTTGCCTTTGGGTTGCTTTTGTCTCCAGTCTCGGAGCATTGATAGTGTCACCATGTATGATGAATCTTTATTATCGTTGAAATAATGTTGGATATTTCCTGGTTTAAGGCCGAGAGCCTTCCCAAGATCATCTATCTCATCACGCTTGGCAACTCTTCGAGCAACAGTGGTCAGCTTTTGTTCAAAGTCGTCCTGTTTACCTGAACTGTTCCTGAAATAAATCATAAAAAAGGGATTATAATATGTATCTTAAAAATAATTATAATATGTATGCAGACAAATAAAACGTAGCCAATGGCTACATGTGTACTTTAGCAAAAGATTATTCCCAGACCCTAATTTGCTTGAAGGGGTTAATGCAACAGATATGGAATACTCCCCAGGGAGTAGAGAGGGTGCACATTGTGCGTGAAGGAATCTGATAACCTGAGTAATATCTCTAAAGCGCTTAGAATTTGTGTTGTTGTTGATTAAGCTCTACTTATAAACAGATTATTATAATTGTTACATTCTTTTCCCCAAATTCTTATTAATGTGTCATGTTATGATTCTGATTTTTGATATGATATCACATTCACCATTAGCAACAGATAAATTCAATTATTTATTTGCGAGCGAGCCTCATAATGGTTTTAATTTATAGCATACTGACATCATTCAAATATCGCTATTGGGATTTAGTTATAAGATATGTTAGCCCAGTTCCCCCTTCTCTTTATTTATTGAAGTTTTGTATTCGATTGCAAACTTACATTGCAAAGTTGAATATACAATGCAGGTCTACCAGTGATTGTCCTGTCTGACCTACTTGCAGGATCACTATTATTTTGTTATCTGGCTGGCTGCTCAGATCCAAGTTAAAGGACTTTGTCCACTGGTGTCCTATCTGCAATTCGTCATACTTGACAGTCTACGAAATAAAGAGCAAAGATCAATTACCAAAAAGTATTTTTCTTTTATATACATAAATAAAATTGTATAAAAAGGTACATGTGTTGAATTTATTTGCTGTTGCTAAATAAATCAAATAAAAACACACCAAATCAAACCGAATCAAACATGTGATCAATTGGTGACAATCTTTTGAACTATTTGTATGTAGGACTAGCATGATGAAATCGATGGAGATTTTAAAACGATGCATGTATCAAGCTTGGGTTGAAGGACTGTAGATGCAGTCAAATGTACCCATACACTTTACCTAGCGAGGATCTCTATGAATTGACATTCAAATGAACATCAGTTGGGGGAAACAATTTGAATTAGTGTTCGGGTCATTAGTGATAGTCTCATTTGTTTTTAATGATTGAAAATTAAGAGAATACTTCGAGTGGTCTGCTGTTTATCACTAAAAGATTGCCATATTCTTTATCATCTTATACTCCACTCACACGGAGACTGGTATCAGTACAAACAAAATACAGTGTATCACATTACCTAAAATGTAGTTGGTCTGGAGTCACTTTGATAGTGTGACTGAAGTTGTGCAACTTAGGATTCATACAAAAATACCTAAACCACATTGCCACAGAGAAGATTGCTTTGATTCTATCTCTTCTTGATTTTGGAAATGCCCTTTTATTAAATTTGCCACACCCTCAACATAGCACAATTGTCCTGCCTATGTAGTGACTATCTCCAAGAAACACAGTCACATCACACCTGGTCCACTAGTTCTCAAAGATTCTATTTGAAAAAAAAAGACCTTCAGGTTAAAGTTATTGAGCTAATCTTTTTCTTTTCCTAGTATCCTTGTGACTTTTCTGAAACCCTTACTGTTGTTCTGTATTCACTGTTTTCTTCGTTTTGTCTTTGTTGAATAAAATAAAATAAATGCAATACATTGGTTGCCAATAGGTGAGCGCATTGCTTTCACAATTCTTTTGATTTTATTCCATTGTGTCCATGACTCAGCGACACAGTACAATATATACTTTGATAAATCATTACATTCCTTAAACATCTTTACGCTCTCAAAACTCTGGATTTCTTTCTTCTTTCTGATATGCTGTTTCTTACTCATTGGTGATTTTGTTAAGAGATATGAACTTTGTTTTATCTTATGCACTAGTGCGTCTTGAGCATTTGATTTCAAGTGACTTTGGTGCCTTACTAATCTTATTTTATTATTATCTTATTATTATTATTATTTTCTTTTTTTTTGCTGTTGCTATTGCTATCACTATTATTAATATTATTTTTGTTTTCACTATCATTATTATAAAGGAGAACTTACATGTACGGTATCTCCAATTGGATCATCCTTTATGAAACAAGTCATTCTGACGTCCACTTCTGCCACTCTGATAAGAACCTCTGCTTCAGGATGAATACAAGCTAAACCTATGCCTTCCTCCTGGGACACTATCTGTCACAAAATGATTCAACAAAATACAAATAATAGCTAATTAAAATTCAAGGGGACACTACCTAGTTTTTATTTGCAAGGTTTCTATGTTCTGTTATCTTTTGATCAGAAACTGGTATAAATGCATGCAAATATACAGTTAACTGACTTTTCATATTCATTTCCTCCAAGAGCCCATAGCAAAGTACTATTTGATTCACCTATCAAATATAAACAATTCTGTACGGGTTGATTCCACCTACATACATTCACTGTTCATATGTCAGGCAACCATCTGTCAAAGCTTTCTAATCATCAAGAGTAAATGTACAAGTGGTCTATTCCACAGGTAATCAAACAACGAGCACGAGTGCATGTGCCAAACTATTCATCAGCAAACTGGGTGGTGACTTTGTGATGGGGTTTGAAATACAATTGAGATTAGAATATACTTTTTTGGGTGGACAGTTGCTAAAATCGATTTTGATTTATCATTATTGATTTACAAATAGAAGCCATCGGATTACACACATCATCGTTAGGTTCTAATAATAGTTTTCAAGAGAATGTTAGTCCTGACATAGGTGAAAAATAATTGTAGGATTTGTATTTGTCTCATACTTCTATGAATAATACAATGGTGTCTCCCACATGGTAGGGAGTTTCTTTTTTCTCTCTTTTTTTGAAATTGCACAACTTGCATACAATTTTTGTATTAGATTTGTTGGCATCAACAAAATGTATTTGCATCAACATAGTACAGTTAACTAATTATTCTTTTTACTCTGCCAAAGACATTTAGATAATATTCTTGCCTTCATATAGATCCCTTTGATGTCATCATACAGATGTGCACGTAAGACGACAGGATTTTTTTCCTCTGGTAATGGCTTTTCTGCAAATGGCAGGCAACGCATTCGCTTCCCTCCAAAGAAGACAGTCAACTTGAATTTGATGAATGCCCAAGAGAAGTGATTCATCTGCAGTCTAAGTGTATCTCTCTCTATGTTGCAGTTAGGTATTCCAGACTGTGTTAATGGAATTTGTTCCTTTACTTCTGCATCTAATATGAACATATATGTAAGCAACTCAGTTTATTTATTTATATGCATGCACGTACCAAGAATAATGCCATCATTTAAATTGAGCTATCTATTGTATGCATAATGTTGATATTAGAACCTACAGTAATTTGTTGGCTATTATACAATTTCCTTAAATTCATATGAGAGATACAAGAAAGGCTATGTAATTCATGCAATTAATCAATATTGTAAAAAAATAATAGGGTGCATGAAAAACCTTCATTCAACGCAGGGTAGTCTCATCATCCTGTTCTCCCTGAAAGACCCTGCAATCAAATTATTACATGGGTTTAATCTAAGATATATATGCCTTCCCATGTTATCCTTAATTCAGTACATGTATGTCAGTATAACTAAGCAAGCTAAAGACGAACCAGAACATATAATTTTTTGCAAAAGTAAAGGTAATACAAGCTATCATCGAAATGCTGTGATTTACTTTTGGAAGATAACCCTTTATTTAAAAAACTTGAAAGATTTACAATTTTATGGTTAACACATATAGCAGTGAAGTGTCATATTAGTGATGTTTTATTTTCATCTTTTGATCCACAATAATTACAAATTACACAAGAGCAGAAAGAGCAAAAATAACAGAAATGTTAAAGTATATTTTCCATGTGTAGCGAAGTAGAGATGTCTCCCTTTAAACCAGATAACCCCCCCTCTCTCTCTCTCTCGGTCTCTCTCCTATTTCATCATCCTCTCTACTGGAGGTCAACAAACTATAGTAAGATGTAACCTGGTCATTTCCACTTGTCCGAATATTCCAAGAATAGGATGTTTGTAGATAATGAGAATGCCCCTTATGTTATTGGAGTTTAGGTCAACCAGTGTTGCCAAAACTTAAGACTTAGATTTATTTACCCCAAGATTAGAAACACAGAGGGAGGAAGTTAATGTTGACAATCTTTGATGATAAGCAAACATATAAATTGTCCTTCTGCCTCTGCGAATACCAGTTTGGGCTGGAAGACAAAGCATTTGTTTTCTTGGAAAAGGAGTTAAGTCATCGCAGGAAGTAGGAGCAGGGATATACCCAACTGTTCAATGAGCCTTTGTCTTTTCTACTCCTTCCCCTTATTTTTGTTTTCGCCCAATCAGAATGTTAGGATAAATTGTTCAGGACGACTCTTCGAGTGTCCATCAAGTGTTATGCCCGCCCAGTCACCTACTGTAATTATAATGAAATAGTGAAGTTTAGTGTAAGAATATTTTGTAGGAGGAGATCTCGGAATCGAGATTGTGAATATGTAATTAGGTATAAAACCCCCATCCCTTGCATGAAATCCTCACTTGGATCCCCCCACCTAGCTGAACCCCTCACTTGGAACCCCCTCACTTGGAAACCCCCACCTGGAACGTCCCCACCCGGAACCTTTCTCCTTCTAATCCATCTCTAACTCATCAGTGCTTCAACTTCAAATATCCAGTATACAATATACTTCAAGATTTGGACTTTGGAGAATTCGAATAACAGGTTGAGCAAGTTCTGAAATACACCTTCCGTATTTTAAAGTCAACTCGATGCCAACTCCAGCTCCAGTCATTTGGGAAAGTGTCTGTTAATTCAACATAATAAAGAACTGTATCCAGTTTAGTCCAAAGTCACGTCCAGCTTTATTCCCGTACCCGTCAGCTTCCAGTCCCGCCAAGTCAAGTTCTCCAAGTCACGTCCAGCTTCGTTCCCGCCAATTCCCGTCCAGCTTCCAGTCCCGCCAAGTCAAGTTTCTCCAAGTCACGTCCAGCTTCGTTCCCGTCAATTCTCGTCCAGCTTCCAGTCCCGCCAAGTCAAGTTTCTCCAAGTCTCGTCCAAGTTCGTCCCAGTCGCATCCCGTTCCGAGTCAAGTCTACGATCGAAATATCAGCGAGCTAAGTGGCCATAATTACTAACTTCATTTCCCTTAACCTATCCCTTCCCTTCCCCATTAGACTGTAATAAATTAAGTAAGAAATAAGTCGCCCTTTAACTCTTAAGAATACTTTGCAATTATATTTATTGCAACATTTATATATAAGTTGTATTATTTCTATTATTCTGATTTGATGGATGAGATTTGTCATTCATATTAATTAAATAATTACCAAGTGACATCGTAATTCAAATCGTGTCCAAGCACTTTATTTCTAGATTTGTCTCTTTGTATTTTATATTTTAATAATATAATATCATACACTGATACAGTGGTCTATTTGAGACTAACCCCACCCCCGAGTGAAAGTCATATAGCTAGCGGACCAATACAAAAACCTGATTTCACTCGGAGCTTGATTCTATTATTTCATCATAATAGAAGACGGCGTGGCGTGGCCGTTAGACGGAACCCACGACCTCTTCGCGTTATCAGCACGAATGCTCTGATAGGATTTTGGTTTAAATGTTTCAAAACGCTGTAACGCTCCCAAAATAGTTTTTATAAAAGACAGGTTTGATGCCAAGTCCCTGTCAATAAAAGTGCTTGTATATGTAGTGTTTTAGTTTTGTAGAGAGTTGATCAATTTCACACTTTTTCCTTGTTTGTTAAGTAGCCATGAGCATAATGAGTTGCATTTTGCTGTTTATGTTGGTTTCTGTGAATCTGTCTGGCATGTCTCTGTTTGATAAACTTTGTTCTCAGCTGTGTGAGTGTGGAGGAGATAATGACAATGAAAAAGATGATATCATAGTTGACAGGTGTATTTTGAAGAATTTAAAACGTTCTGTATTTCCAAGCCGAGCGAAAATTAAGATTTGAAATGTCCCCATTCGGCTAGATTTCAACAAACACTGATCTATCCTTTATTTTTTGCTTTTGATTTATTTAAGGTAATTTTAAATATGTTGTAGTAACATTATGGCAATTCCAAAAGTTTTAAATTACAAAGATATACATTTTTTTTCTGTTAGTAACATTTAAGTTGTTTTTTTAAACCCGAGTAATTCATCATAGTATTGTAAGAGATCAGGGAGAAGGAATTATTGTTTTAAGTTGCGCAAATTAATTTTGTTGTGAGGAGTGCAGGAGGGACTACCAAATTAAAGTTTTTGGGTATTGTTGTGACTTAGGTAACTGTAGGTACTGGGACAGAAAGTATAAGAAGGCTTAGAAAATTGGACCTAATAAAGATGTGCGAGAAGATTTTCATTAAATTAGATGTAGTATTTAAGTTACAGTTAGGGTGGAGTTCAAGGAACTTCCACGTATTCCCCATATCAATAGCTCATTGCTGGCTTAGTTTCTCACCGAAATAAGTCGTAAATAGGCATGATGCAGATAAGGTAGGAGTAGGCTGTTTTAAAGTAGTTTAGTATTGGAGATCATCATGTTGCAGTTAGTCTAAAAGAGAGATAACCTTGCGCAGGGATGAGTTTTTTGTTTGTTAGTATTTTCTCGAGGAAAATATTGAGATGCTGCCTTTGTAGGAGCGTCCGGGTCGTATATATTTTTTATGTGTAGTTGAAAGTCTGATCGGATGTTTTAAAGTGGTCCATTGTTGCTTTGCCCTTTTGTGCTCAAATTTCTAGCCTGCTAGTTGCTGATATCACACATTTATGGGATATAGAATATTTCTTTATTTTTTCCTTTCTTGGAATTATTTTTTTTGAGAGTAAAACTTAAGTATTTTTGTTTTGAAAAATTGTTCGATATGAACTTTCGTAGAAATTGTGCGATAAGAGAAAATTTGATAGAAAATAGATTTAATTTGCCATTTTGTTAGTTCAGCCTAATTATGCAACTGTTAATTTTGTTTTAATTGTTTATAATGCCCCATAAAATGGTAGGGCAAACAGTGCTGATAATGATGTGTCGAGCCAGATTGATTTATGCGCATAATTTTGCACAGGCGATTGGTTCGTTTTAATTTAAAACGATGTTTAAGAGTTAAGTGAAGACAGTCAGTAATTAAGAGGTATAAGTATTTGAGATGTTTCCATTAAATATGAGGTTTATTAGGACAGAATTTGTTTATTTTGTATTCCATGGTTAGTGACCATTAGCTTGGCTTTATTGCAAGCTCTAGGCACTGAACTGACATGTATGCATCAGATCGGAATGCATGATAAAACCCTATAGTGTTTGTGGAAATTGCCCAACACGAGTTGCTTAATTTTTAAATTTTGTTTGTAATAAATGTAGACAATGATTTCAATTTTATTATTAATGAAGGAAAGATAGGATGTCGGAGCATCATTAGGGATAGTTCGGAGGGAAGCGTCACTCGCACTTAATCGCTTGTGCATGTAACCTAGTATGTCGAGAAGGCATGTATTGGAGTACATGTACAATTAAGTAAATGAGTGGTGATAATTTTTGTTGATGTTGTTTTTTTGTAAATGATAAAGTGGAACAGGGAAGGTGATGTTACCCCATCCCCTACCCGTCCGTGTGAGTAGCAATAGGCCGCCTCAATAGAGGAGGACTGTCCCCCGAGACAGTCACAAAGATGCCCGCGCCCACCGGATAAGCTTATCTATCAACAACAAACAAAAATTAAAAAAATGACGTTTTGTTTTGTGAGGAATTGTGGTGCTGCTTTTGGTGAAAAGGGTTGTTGTTGTTCTTACTTACTTAGATTATAGTGTGTGCCAAGAGGTTATCACTTTAATTTTATTTGAAGGTTAAGATGTTTTAGTTTTGTTACTTTTATTTGAGACATTTGGTTGATTGGTAGGGAAGAAATAGTAAAATAAATGTAGTACGTTTATATACATTTTGTATCTTTTCGCTAATAGATACAGTCATAAATGATGTATATTATAATATATTGTACTCTGATACAATATCGCTTGATTTAGTTTTTGTTTGGGAATCTGAGGATATACCGACATGATATTATTTTGTGTACTTATTTGCACTCTAGACATGCATTTGATTTATTTTAAGTTTGCACTGACATTTTTTATAGATGGATTTGTAAAGATGGAGTCTAATCTCTGTTGTTATGTAATATGACATGACTTGTGTACATACATGTAGGATACTTTGGTTATAAAGTATAATTGTGTTATATGCTATTGCCTTCATATCTTGTACATGTATATGAGCGCAGTAGGCATCAATTGAGTGTTGTAGTAGTATTTCAGATGTCATTTGGTAAACCATAAGTATAGGAAAGACAGTTGTACTTAAGTTGAGGTGTGTTCTTTTATATTCCATTTTTGGGAATGGCGAGGTCGCCATTCAAGTGGCCAAGGGGAAGATGTAGGGAAGTAGAGATGTCTCCCTTTAAACCAGATAACCCCCCCTCTCTCTCTCTCTCGGTCTCTCTCCTATTTCATCATCCTCTCTACTGGAGGTCAACAAACTATAGTAAGATGTAACCTGGTCATTTCCACTTGTCCGAATATTCCAAGAATAGGATGTTTGTAGATAATGAGAATGCCCCTTATGTTATTGGAGTTTAGGTCCATTCACATGAATGAAAACTTAGGATTAAATCTGTTCACATAGAAAAGGTACATGACCTATAGTAGACAAAGCCCCTACTCAACCAGTGTTGCCAAAACTTAAGACTTAGATTTATTTACCCCAAGATTAGAAACACAGAGGGAGGAAGTTAATGTTGACAATCTTTGATGATAAGCAAACATATAAATTGTCCTTCTGCCTCTGCGAATACCAGTTTGGGCTGGAAGACAAAGCATTTGTTTTCTTGGAAAAGGAGTTAAGTCATCGCAGGAAGTAGGAGCAGGGATATACCCAACTGTTCAATGAGCCTTTGTCTTTTCTACTCCTTCCCCTTATTTTTGTTTTCGCCCAATCAGAATGTTAGGATAAATTGTTCAGGACGACTCTTCGAGTGTCCATCAAGTGTTATGCCCGCCCAGTCACCTACTGTAATTATAATGAAATAGTGAAGTTTAGTGTAAGAATATTTTGTAGGAGGAGATCTCGGAATCGAGATTGTGAATATGTAATTAGGTATAAAACCCCCATCCCTTGCATGAAATCCTCACTTGGATCCCCCCACCTAGCTGAACCCCTCACTTGGAACCCCCTCACTTGGAAACCCCCACCTGGAACGTCCCCACCCGGAACCTTTCTCCTTCTAATCCATCTCTAACTCATCAGTGCTTCAACTTCAAATATCCAGTATACAATATACTTCAAGATTTGGACTTTGGAGAATTCGAATAACAGGTTGAGCAAGTTCTGAAATACACCTTCCGTATTTTAAAGTCAACTCGATGCCAACTCCAGCTCCAGTCATTTGGGAAAGTGTCTGTTAATTCAACATAATAAAGAACTGTATCCAGTTTAGTCCAAAGTCACGTCCAGCTTTATTCCCGTACCCGTCAGCTTCCAGTCCCGCCAAGTCAAGTTCTCCAAGTCACGTCCAGCTTCGTTCCCGCCAATTCCCGTCCAGCTTCCAGTCCCGCCAAGTCAAGTTTCTCCAAGTCACGTCCAGCTTCGTTCCCGTCAATTCCCGTCCAGCTTCCAGTCCCGCCAAGTCAAGTTTCTCCAAGTCTCGTCCAAGTTCGTCCCAGTCGTCCCGTTCCAAGTCAAGTCTACGATCGAAATATCAGCGAGCTAAGTGGCCATAATTACTAACTTCATTTCCCTTAACCTATCCCTTCCCTTCCCCATTAGACTGTAATAAATTAAGTAAGAAATAAGTCGCCCTTTAACTCTTAAGAATACTTTGCAATTATATTTATTGCAACATTTATATATAAGTTGTATTATTTCTATTATTCTGATTTGATGGATGAGATTTGTCATTCATATTAATTAAATAATTACCAAGTGACATCGTAATTCAAATCGTGTCCAAGCACTTTATTTCTAGATTTGTCTCTTTGTATTTTATATTTTAATAATATAATATCATACACTGATACAGTGGTCTATTTGAG